TATTACATCATAGTAATTTTTGCGTTAAATGTTCTTGGTTTACGATAGAGTTTTCACAAATGAAACAAACAAAAAAAATATTAGGATAAGTTAATTTAATCATTTGGGACACAACAGGATAGTTATAATTGTTCTCCATAATGCAGTAAGATGTAAGAATTAATAATCGATCACTTCAGAACAAAAAAAATATATAGACACAAACTTATTTAATAAGCGACAATTTGCTGGTCATAATTGAAAGCCTCATCAGGCTAATTTTTTTTAGTGAAAGATAGAGATAAAAGGTATCTGGAATTACAGATGTTTTTTTTTTTTTTTTTTTCTTTCAAATTAGCCTTTTTCGGAACCATTAAAACTGAGAAATCGCAAGGGAAGTCCGATTCTTCGAAAATCTCATCATCTTGAATAAATCTTGCACATGACTTCAAATACTGTCACACAAATGAGGAGGTTGATTGTATTATCTCAAATTTATTGATGCGTTATTAAAATTAATAATTTGGTCTTGGATGATTACTGTTAATTGTTTCCAGATATATGCAAATGATAATAGAATATCCTTTGTGTTGTGTGCTATTCTAGCGATATGCGATCCTTGACGACCATTTCGAAGCATTGGAGACCTTTACACTTTAAAATAAAGTTAATTTTTCAACGGAGATTTTTTTATTCTTTGAGACAGTTATATCATAGAAAGTAAAAAATGGCTTAGACAGTGTTTGCGGTGCTCAAAAGCATGAGCACCCACTTAAGGAAATGAAGTTTTTGATGAGCTTTGAATTCCTTGTATATAAAGCGAAGCATCAGCTAATTTAACCCAATTAATATATATATAACCGCTGATTTAATACTTTTGTACTGAAAGGAATGTCTTGTAATTTTTATCGTGATGGTCTCTACGAAATTTTCCGCGATGCTCGTTGGTTGTGGGACACAGTGACATCATGGGACTTTTTTTATTTAAATTAGACAATTTTTACCGTGTGGCAATGAAAATTCATACACGTGTTCTTAAGACTTTTTTTCGTTTGAATCTACATGTAGACAATTTGTAAGTTTGAATTATTTTTGCGTAAATAAGAATGTTTTTTACTTTCAGGTAGATGTTGTACATTTACATAATTTTGTTGGATATCAGATGATTTTCACCGTATACAAGATAAAAATTATCTAAGTAGACAAAAAAGTACTATCACGTTGCTGTGTCCTATAACTACCGTGAATCATGGTAATTTTTATAAGAACAAATACGATAATACATTTTGCGCTTCTATATTTGTAAAGTGCATGTTAAGAGTCGATTAGTATTTTTTTTATCTGCACGTCTATAAGTAATACATACATATACTAATATTTTATGTGTTAAAAAAAAAAATTTTTTTTATCCGTGATCTTGACTTCAGAGTCAGGGATGAGCCACCTGAATAGGACTGATATTACAAGAATTGTACAGTTTCAAGCTCAAAATTCTAAATTGAGTTTAATAAAGAAGAATTTGCAAAATAAAGCAAGCATTGTATAAGTTTTAGTAATGTGGATCCCCGTCGAGTTTTGTCATGTTGTAGTTTTCAAATTCATGGATGTCATCGACGTAAAAGAACCAGTATTATGTGTAAAATCTAACATGCGTAGAATAATTACATTTTTGTTGCAAAACAGAGAACGGTTTAATGGTTAAACATTTTTTGTAATCGAATGTAAGATTTGAGCCCTAGTGGGCCAAAATAATGTATAGAAACAACCTCGGAAACAACCAAGTTAAATGTGAGTGGAATACATAAAAACGACATTTTTGAAACTTTATTAACTTTTTTATTTTCAAACTACGGAGTTTGATAATATTTCGAAAATGTTTTATGTTCAAAGTAAGCTTAAAAATCTTGAAAAATGTTTTACACGCCAAAAAATAATTTGATGTTTTAATTAATGAAAATTATCACTAACCAACAGTAACAATAATATACAGATAACACGTGTATTTATCACCTCATGAGAGATAAAAGTCAAAGAATATCAAATTAAAAAAAATTTTAATACAGAAATCAGCTATTGACTCATAGGACTAAAACTGAACATTAATATAATACTTTTGCACGGTGGTATACATACATCGAGTTAGCGACTGCTACAGCTCGTCTTTAATCGTCGGTAAATTCTCTTTTTTCTTACACTTATACATTGTATACACGTACAGAATGTACCCATGTAAACTACGTCGGCCCGTGATCTGTCCAAAACTTGAAAGTCATTCTATACTTATTACGCAACGCAAACGTGTGCACCCGCATCGCGTGGGGCATCGTTATAAGTAATGCGCGCTCTTGATGAATCAACTTGCGAACCAGCAACTGCAGATAGTACCTAGCTCTCTTTTTTTCCACCGGCTTTTGCGAAATCAAAAAAGATTACTGCAGAGTACCGATCTGCCGCTCCATGAGTGCTGCTATCATATAAGCATACGGTACTTTTGTAGTTTAATAAAGACCACACCTCACTGTTTCAAAGAAGAAACGTAATATTTATCCCTTATTTTTGTGGCCAAACTTTTTTACTTTACTTCGCTGACGTACGCGCAATATTTGCAGGTACTCTATGCTTCCCGCTGATATTATTACATGTTGCGTTTCGTCCTTTATTATAAACTTCGTTTTCCTTACATTCTTCTCTACGTGGGAAGGGAATTTCTTACAAAAAGTATAAGTAACTACTGCGAAGTTCTTTGTTAAGATTTCCGTTTGTAGTGACTTTATTGAAACAAAAGTTGCTCATCAACCTCGATGAGTAGGTGAAAGGATACGTCCACGTTGTTTCTGAGAACAAGAAAACTCTAGAACGGATTATTGAAGAGGTTTTTTCGCATCCTCGTGATAATGAGCAGATGCATTGCAAAATCTCTTGGTTATGTGTACATCAATTATGGGCAAAACTATTATCATTATCATTAATATTACTATTTTTATTGTTATTACTACTTTTTTTTAAATCCAAGACCCAGAGTCCATCAAAGATAACCTTTTGGAATAAGTCTTTTTAACTACAAATATTACAGTTTATAATCAAGTGCTTTATTTATAACTAGCGGACCCCCGTCTCGGCTTCGTCCGAGATTTACTAAGAAGCGCACCGTAGTGTATTAACTCGTAATGTAGTGTTTTCAGTTAAAAATTTTGTAACTGATCTTGACACTTCTCGGAATAGAAAAATTCTAATAAAAAAAAAAAAATTAGTTTGGAATCCATGCAGTTTTGGTCGACAAGTAGGCTGTGAGAAAGTTTAAAAAAATTTAATGATGCTGAAAAATACCGTGCGTTTCTTACGCCATAAAAAAGTAATTGGACCTTAAGGGCCGTTAGTTTGCGCTTCCTCATGTTATAATAAATAACAAGGGCTATTTATTAAAACTGTTAAGATTTAAAGCTGAAAAAAATATAGAATTGAAAATCTTTTTCCAATCAAAAAATTACTACTAGAGCAACAAAGTCCTGGAGCCTCATCTCTCCATTTCTTAGCACCACAATGGATACAAACACATATTATTCTACCTATTTCAAAAGCTGGAAGATTCAAGTAATTACTGTGACGGTTATAATGGAAGGCTGATCTCTTACTTAGTGGATTCTTTATTCGTTGATTTTGACGCTACTGTTTCCATCTCGAATGTTTTGCGTCAGTTTCTTGACGTCCAATTTACCCTCTTGCGACTATAGACATTGTTAAGACTTTTGTGAGCCCGAAGGTCTGTTTTATGTCAACTTTGTTAAGTTTTAATATTAATATATTTGTTGACAAGACAGCTCGACGATTGATGGCCCTAAAAAGGATCGGTGAGATAAACTCTTTCTTGTCTGAAGCTTTCAGCAAACACGAATGGCTTGTTGTTATAGCATCAGACTGATCGGAAGGTAAAACAACAACGTTCTGAAGCGTTGGAGCTAGTTGTAGTGCTCTTTCCCAACGTCTTCTAGTGTTACGCCAAAGACATTCGCGTTCAGAACATCTTTTTTTGTGGCGATCGGCCGTTTTGATTACCGAAGGTGGAAATTGGTTCATGTCAAGTGGTTGTTTGAGACTGTCCCGTTTGCTCAAGTTTGTTTCTTTTTTTTTCTTTTTTTCCCCTGAGAGAAGAGGGAAAAAGGAAAATAACAGAGAATTTCAGAGGCCAGCTCGCTCTCCAAGGGATGAAAGGAGGGGTGCTTACGCATTTGGGCCAAGCTGGAATATTGGCTTGTGCCGGAAGAATTAGAGGAGCTTAAATTTTGGTGTAATGAAACAACGAAGGCCCTTCACGGCGTTTGTGATGTTGCAAATCTTCGTAATGAATTTTTTAGGGAAGATTTTCAAGACGCTGTTGGAGATGCCGTCTCTGCCAGAGGCTTTGTGGGTTTTTAAGGAGCGGATAATATATTTTCAAAGGGTGTGCAGTGTTCAAAATCCGGATTGTCGAGGACCTGTTGCTGCACCGTGTGATTAATTCTTTCATGTTCCTAGACTAACTCTTCAGGGCTAAGGTTGGGGGATCATTGATTTTGCAGTAAATCTGCAAAGATCTGTGCTTTTATCGAATCCAGTGAGTAGAGTTTGTTCCCTTATTGAAGGGGGGGGGAGACTGTTTGTTGCAAAGTTTTTTAACGACCATCCAAGTATTTCTTGGGTGGGACTCTACCTCGGCTATGAATTTTTTAAATTTCTTGTTTCAAAATTCGAAAACTTGGGATTTTACTGCTTTTTCAAGAGAGTTAAGGTAGACCTTTATTTCGCGGGTTCTCCGTTTCTGCCAGAGTTTCTGAATTTTATTGTTCTTTTTAATCAGACGTCTAAGGTCGCGTGGGAATTTGAGTACGTATTGGGTAGCTGCGGTGATTGTAGTGGTGTCTTGAGTGCACCTGTTAAGTTCGTCCGCAAATTCGTCAACTGCTATGTCTAGTTCCGTTTGGGATCTAATGAGCCGAAGTTTGATAGGAGAGGATTCTCGGGATTCTAGGTTGTAGGCAGGCAAGATGAACCCAGTCTATGTGGCAGGTAGTAATGGGTACGGTGAGAAGAGATCTAGGGATCTCTGGGTAGACTTAAGAAGTGTTGAAGAAGGTAACGTCTTTTAGGATTTAGAGAGAGTGGGCCTTGAAAAGGGCCGTAAGTAGAGAAGTCAAGTCTGAGTAAAAGCGATGTGTAACAGGCGTCCGCAGAAAGTGTGCGTTCTGTACGAGCGCCCCAGCAAGACTGTGCAAGTTTATTTCTCCTTTATACCTTCACTGTTAGGTTCTCCCAGCGCAGATCTCAGAGAAAATCGATGATTCCTGGTTGAATGCTAGTCAAGAGTGTTATGCAGGGTTATTGATGTCCAGAGTTTTCAGCTTCCCGATGAACAACTCTGCTCGTGACGTCTGCGAGTAAATGACTTGATTTATTTGCGGCTGGTTATACAATATATTTTGAAAATACATTTGTTGGCAAAGTAGTTAAATTTTGGATGACCATAAAAAAAACCGATGAGATCGATGTTGATTTAGTTAACGTGTAAAGACTAAAGATATCCCTAAAAAAAGCCAGTGGTGATACTTCCAGTCATTCTTTATTATTACTTTTAATGATAAAGAGCTGTATGCGGGTAATTTGACTCTTATTCTCGGAGTCTTTGCGTACGGAGATCGTGCTAGAGGAAAATACGCCACTGGCCGAAGAATATTTCATCTCTGGATTGTTCCTCAGATAACCAACCGCTCACCATGGTTGAGAAAGTGGGCCTGGAGAATACCTCCTCTGTGGGTATGCCGTTAGAACAAACCACTGAGAAGGAGACTGAAAAAATTTTTAGCCAATGTGGCTACCCGAACTCCTCGAAGTTATTTTCCGTAATTTTCAGTTATAGCAAAAGGTGCACTAGCAATACTAGGTTGGTTGGAAAAACGGCTACGAAACCCTAAAATTTTGGAGCAAATTGTACTCTGGCTATACGTCTCCTTTTATTTGTGGCACTCGTTAATCTTGGTGGTTTGGGATGTAATTTGACGTTATCTTGATGTACTGTCAGTGAACAACTACGACTATAGTAATCCGCAATTTTCTTGGGGATATTATAACCAAACCCATGATTTAAAAATATTAGGTGTGGCGATGCTCATCCATTTTGATTGACCAATCAGGAACATTTCCATCGTGCCGCCATGTCTGTTTGCGAATTTCAAAAGCTTTTAAAATATAAAGCATATTAACGTCAAGAAACTCGTGAAACAATATATATTTCTTATTTCAATTTTTTCATTCCAGTTGTTTCAGTGACCAAACGTACAATTCGTGAATATTCGCACAGATAAAACAGACTAAATAGGTAATCATTCATCAATTGACGTACATGTATATTCATACGTATGTCTATATCTATATATATATGTCTCACTTCGAGATGGATGCGGGGGATAGGTTTTAGTTTCAACTTTGGCCACTTCGTTTCATTGTATAGTCTCTTCGGCGCTGTAGTAGTCACATCTCCCTCAAATATGGCGCCGTGACGGAAGGCGTAGAACGGCACGGAAATGAGACCTCGGAACGCCACACCTTGTATTTTTACATTATGACCAAACCCACTTACTTCGATGGTAGGTGGCTTCGATTTTATTTCTACGCTACCTAGCAGATCCCACTGAACTAAAGTGTAAAGCTAACGTATTTTTACAAAACTTTAAACTTATTTATTGCGGTTGTTACTAATTTTTTTAAGATAAAAACTACACGAAAACCATCTAAAAAGTGTTAAGAATTAGTATACGAAATTTCAGCAAAATTGCCCTGGTAGAAACGTTACTACATAAACTGGCTAGAAACTCGTCAACATGTTATAAGCCCATTTAAGTATGTACATTGACGAGTTTCTAGCCAGTTTATGTAGTAATTTTCTACCAGGGTGGTTGAGCAGTTTTTGCGGTTAGCAATTAGAACGATTTTTGGGACTTTGCTTTACATATTAGTAAGAGTGAGATAGACGATATGTATAGATATAATAATGGCAGACAAATCGTGCAAAAACGGATTCACAACCACTGAAACTCATGTTATTTTTCCCTTCTAGTAATTCATATTGCGAGTAAAATAGCCCTATTTCCAGAGTGTATCTAAAAAAAAAAANTCAAATTTAAAGATTTCATTTTAATGTACTAAAGCATTATTTTGCTATTCGCGTTTTAAATCTTTGATAAAAAGATTTTTTTTAAACTAAATATATACAACTAAATACAAATAGAAGATTTATTAGATGTGATTGAATCATAGGGGGTAGTCTGAGGGGAGACCGGAGTGGGCCACAAAATTATGAGGGAATTAAAGGGGGCGTGGAGGATCTGGAAAAAACAGGATATTTTTTGTAAATTTCCTGATGTATATAAAAGTTATGTAAAGTTTCACAATTCCAATGTCAATAAATTTTTTAACATTGTAGAGAGTATATATACATTGTTGCTATAATACGCCAGTGAAATTTTAAAATGAAATCATTTTTTAAGTAAATAAGTAGTAAAGGCAACTCGATGCATAAGCAAAAACGTTCTGCCAGCGCATGCAAGTCGTTCTATTAATTTATTTGAACAGTCAAATTCATACACACACTAACACTGTCGCTCTCTCTCTCTCTCTCTCTCTCTCTCTTTCTCTCTCTCTACGTAACGAACCAATTCGTGCACGGAGAGGGAATTTACGGGTTTATCGCATGGAGGGTATCTGGCTGTTAGCGCATGCAGCCTCCCCATGCGTCTAAAACGCGAAGCTGATGCGCTGGATGCCAGCCAGTGCTTGTGTTAAGGCCCGTAGAGTGTTACATGCTATCAACACATGTGAGTACACGGCTGCGAACCAAGAAAAGCCGTAGCCGAAACTCATCGACTATGTCCGAGCTGAAAACGCAAGGAGCATGATGGGTTTAACGCATCATGCTCCTTGCGTTTTGGGTATCAGCTGATAGTTGGCGGCGTTGGCACGAGGCGCGAGCGCCTATATATATATGCTATATATGTATATATACATATAAATATGTATACATTTAACGCTGTTTCTGTTCTTTTAAGTATTACATATGAGAATGTGTTACAAGTATGAACTTTAAACGCTATGCAAGTTTTAGAAAGGAAAAAAAAAATTTTAATCAATGTAACAAAATAAAAAATTGTATAATACAGGAAGTTTTTACTTTCTTTTTTTCTCGCTTGTTTCTGCTGCATGTAATGAAGGAAAAATAAATTAATCGACTATTATTTTGTGCATAGCATTAAAAATTTATTTGTCGTTATCCAAATAAATACTATAATTTATAGAAAAATGAAGGCTATTGTACCAATTGTTTATACTTTATGTAAAACATGCAAGGTAATGATGATAATACAATAAGAAGCAAACCATTGGAAGATAACGAAGGTTGTACAAGTGATTCTGAAAAGTCTCCTGCTTGTTGTTGAAAATTATCCATAACCAAAGTCTAACATGCAAGACTTTAAGACTTTGTAGTGAATTAAATATCTTGAGTGCTTATGAACGGAGACAATTCAGTAAATTAGAAATCATGTGCACAGGGTCCTATATCAATCAAACATAACATAATTGTAAGTGTCAAACCGATACACCAACAGATTATTTCTAAAGAGCTGTCGACGTACTCAAAATGTACGTTTGCGTTTCTGACACAAGATAAGTGTTGTTGCAATAAGATATTTTTTAATAAATATTTGACAAATAAATTATTACTGCCTATTCTAACGTACATATATGTATATTTATATATATACATATATGTGTGTAAACTTATTTCTGATGTTTTTGGTTAGAAATACCACAACATTGAAAATTTTGTGCGAATGCATCATCTTTATATACTTACGTACCAAATTAAATGATTTGCGATGAGATGCATAAGCTAGCTGTTACACCGTTTGTCACTCGTACACAATGCACATCTCGAAATTGCTGCACTTAGTATTTGGAAAGGCTATGAGAATATTGAGAATCATATATACATAACGTGTATACGTATACGTATATAGCAGACTCTTGCGCCAACCATCAGCTGATACCCAAAACGCAAGGAGCATGATGCGTTAAACCCATCATGCTCCTTGCGTTTTCAGCTCGGACATAGTCGATGAGTTTCGGCTACGGCTTTTCTTGGTTCGCAGCCGTGTACTCACATGTGTTGATAGCATGTAACACTCTACGGGCCTTAACACAAGCACTGGCTGGCATCCAGCGCATCAGCTTCGCGTTTTAGACGCATGGGGAGGCTGCATGCGCTAACAGCCAGATACCCTCCATGCGATAAACCCGTAAATTCCCTCTCCGTGTGAGTCTCAGGAGCGTAGTGTGTCGTTCATCATGTCGCCCTCCTTCATTGCATGTCTAACCCCACACCATGCCGCAATATAGGTATACCTAGTAGCACACTGCAGAACCCTGCATGGAGGCTTTCTCTCGTTCGCTCTCTTTCCAAGCTTGCTGCCATGAACATCACATAGGAATACGAGCCTCCCGTAGCTTTAGGGCTTTGGGGAGTAAGGGCTGAAAAGGGGGTCGTCGAGTATGCGGACACATGAAAATACAGGGTGGTGGGGTAGCCTGATTCGAAATGCAACGAAACTGTCGCGAGCGATGTACCCTGTGTTTGATCCGCAAACACCGTAATTACCGTGAATATTGTATTAGGCTTCAGGAATGAAGGGCTGCTGGTGGCTGCTTTCGCTTTTTCCTTCTTTGCTGTATAACGTCCGTATTATATGTACGACTCCACTGAGTTTTCATATGTATAGTACAATCTAGGCTTACCAGATGCATGCGACAGCTGGACCTTGATATTTGGTAGCAGTCCTGATGTCAACTTTGCCAAATGTAAAACAACTCTCTAAATGAGTAGGTTGCATATTTAATAACAGGAAAATGAAAAAATTCACATCAGTATACCAAGTTTATGGCTATTTTAATCATCATGAGTGACACAATAATATAAATAAGAAGAAAAGCACAGTTTTTTGGGTAGAAAATCGATTTTCCTGCATAGTGTGTGGCAAAGATTTTTCCGCACACTGGAAAAAATTTTGCTGTACACCAGAAATCTC